CTTCCGTACGGCATTGCCTCTGCACCTGCATTATTCCAGAGGAAGATGGAGAACATCCTTCAGGGGATCCCAGGGACTCAAGTCTTTTTGGACGATGTCCTAGTCGCGGAGGGACCACACGATTTTGGAAAGACCCTCCGGAGAGTGCTCAGTACACTCAGGGAGAATGGCATCCGCCTAAGAGAAGACAAGTGTGAACTTGGTTGCGAACAAGTCGTGTACCTGGGTCACCGGATCGATAGAGAGGGACTTCATTCATCAGAACAAAAGCTCGAAGCCATCATGAAGGCTCCAGCACCACGGAACCTACACGAGCTTCGTTCCTTCCTGGGATTTATCAGCTACTACAGAAGCTTTCTACCTCAAATGTCCCAGCTACTGGCACCACTCTACAACCTGCTCCGGCAAAATGTGAAGTGGAGGTGGGAAACCAAGGAAGATGCAGCCTTCAACAACGCAAAGCAGACACTTCTGCGGTCAAGTCTCCTAGTGCACTACGACCCCACTCAGGAACTGATCTTAGAATGCGACGCATCTCCGGAAGGCGTTGGAGCAGTGTTGTCGCACAACGTCAATGGGGTCAACAAACCCATCGGTTTCAGATCCAGGACACTCACCAGTGCCGAGAAAAACTACTCACAACTGGAAAAAGAGGCCCTGGCACTAATTTTTGAAGTAACCAAGTTTCGTGACTACTTGCTTGGTAGAACTTTCACGCTTAAAACTGATCATGAACCCTTGGTAGGGCTTTTCAAAGAAACCAAAGCAACACCAACCACCGCAGCTGCCAGAATCCAGCGCTGGGCACTCACGCTTGGGGCGTACAGTTACAGGATTCAATACAAGCCTGGGCAAGCAAACCAAAATGAAGATGCCTTAAGTCGTTTACCACTCCCACATGACCAGCCAAGAACTGAAGACAACAGATTACAGGGAGTGCATGTCCTCGACATCTTGGACACCGGTCCAGTTTCTCGGAAGCAGCTGGAAGATCTTACGACGAAGGACCCTGTGCTTGTGGCACTTCGAGAGATCATTAAGGAAGGTTGGCCAAGGAAACTTCAAGATCCAGTTCTTCAGCCATTCTGGCCGCAGAGACACACCTTCTCCTTGGACGGTCTTCTCATCCGCAGGGGGGAGAGAGTGGTTATCCCCGAGAAAGCACGAGACGCCTTCCTACAGGAGCTCCATGACACACACATGGGTATTAATGCGACAAAAGCACTCGCACGGTCAATACTCTGGTGGCCAGGTATTGATCGTGCAATCGAAGATGCTCTGCGAGCTTGCACAGTGTGTCAACAGGCTGCACCGATGCCATCAGCAGTAGAACCACTAGCCTGGCCAGCAACCACTACACCTTGGACAAGAATTCATGTCGATTACGCAGGACCTATCGATGGTACCATGCTGCTCATCGTGGTTGACAGCTACTCAGGCTGGATTGAAGCACTACCAACACCAGCCGCAACTTCAGCAGCAACAGTTGATCACCTGAGAAGTCTGTTTGCCCGTTTCGGACTGCCTGTTTGCCTGGTGTCCGACAATGGAACACCATTCACTGGATCACAATTTAATGAGTTCATATCCCTGAACGGTATCCGCCATTTAAGGACTGCACCGTATCATCCACAATCGAATGGGCTTGCAGAGAGAGCTGTAAGGACGGTCAAGGATGGCTTGAAGAAACTCTCAGGAGGTTCCCTCGCCACACGTTTGGCAAGATGGCTGCTTGTGCATCGTCGCACTCCGTCGGCCACCCGAGGCCAATCTCCAGCAGAGCTGATGCTCGGCTTTCGCCCGAAAGTTCGCATGGACCTCGCCACCATGACCACCAGCGAGCCAAAGGACGACACAGAAGGACTCTGCAACCTCAAAGAAGGGAATCCTGTGTTCGCAAAGAACTACGGAGTTGGAGAGCGTTGGGTGCCGGGAGTCATCTCGAAGGTTTTGGGAAACCGTATGGCTATAGTGGAGACCCACCACGGCTCAATGAGGCGCCACATCGACCAGTTGCGCCCCCGACACCATGGCTCTACTGTTCCGGAGACTTCTGTGGATTGGCCACCGGACCCGAGCCTTTTCGACAGTATACCGGACAGCCGAACTGAAATTCGATCGTCCCCACTACGACGCTCTGTGCGAACACGCAAGGCACCAGACCGGATGGACTTATAGCTAGTGTGGGGGAGTGCTGCATATCTGTATTTCGCCCCAGGGGGCCAGCGTCTTCCGGTAAACTTCCCGCGCACGCCGCGCCATTACTTCTTCTTCTTGCTCATGCAACCGCCATGAGGTTTCAATGGTTTCAACATGTAACCTAACCGATTAATAAACAATATGTGACAAGAACGTTTTTCCCCACCGACGCAACATTTGGAAGCATAAGAGTGAAAAGCGGTTCGACTGTAAGTAGGGGGGCACAAGGCTACCAAACCGCAAGCTGTTCTTTATTCTGAAATCATTGGGAAACGCGGAAAGGGCGAAAGGGGAGGGGTGGTGCCGGGGGAGGGGGGGGGGGGGGGTAGGGGTCTTCTTACGAGGGATCCGCGAGCCGCACTTGGACCAGCGAAGAGCCGCGGTTTGGCCACCCCTGCAATATGCGATAGTCAACACCCACGTTCACATCTCCCGCTCAAGATGCTACTAACATCCCTCTCTCTCTCTCTCTTTGTATCTGTTATTATTTGAATTAATCTGCAGGCTAAAAAATCTAATAAAAATCTAACATTAAAAAAAAAAAAATTCTTTCGTTTTTTGTTTAGAGCAAGCAACAGTACTCAGAACCCTATACACAACTTGCAGAGGAAGAGAAGCGTCGCGACGTGTTCGAACAAAAGCCCCCTCTCCATGACTGTAAATTTTAGAAAGGTATAATTTTGTATAATGCGGTAAACGTCTCCAGCGAGCGCCGACGGTAAGAGCGTCCCTTCACTGGAGCGAGCCCGCTCCGGCCACGCGCGCGGTGGACTCAAAACTTTTGAAAAAGATCGTACATACATGAATATTGCCGAGGTGATTCAGATACATTTTATAAAAAATGCCGCGGAAAATGGAGCTGGAAATGGAAAATGGAAAACGGAAAACGCCCAAAGCATCGTTTCTTTCGCCGACAACCAAAACACGTAAGAACCACTAAGCGCGGCGTATGACTAGAAACAATGCGCAAAACTTATGTTTTTTTTCTCTGGAGGTGACAAGTATGGTTGGGTGATTTCAGATAAGATCGACCAAAGGGTGCCTGGTCGACATTTTCTAAATCAACTGATGTTTTTATAAGCTATTGTCTAGTGTCTGGTATAAACAAATCCACACTTAGTTTTGACCAGAAAAACAAAACAAAAATTGGGGACAGGAAAAGTTGTAAGGCATGAAGAGGTGGACAGTTGCGTTAACGCGCACTAGTGGAGGGGGCATGTTTGAAAGTAAAAAACTAAAACGATAAAAATAGGAGAATATTAATACTTTTTAGAAACAAACTATGAGTACAGCTTGCTTGAAAATAAATAGTAATAATATTTATTTAAATTATCTTTTCTTTTTCTAAAAATTTCCAAACATGCCTGCTCGAACGAAAAATGCAAAATTTGCAGGCCTGTATATCATGAAATAATTTAATCACCATGATATACTTCTCAGATAGTATTCTACTTGTATACGGCTATTATTTAAAATATATATTAAGTATCTGAGTGATACGAGAGTCGTGATATATTTAGGCAAACATGGAAAACAATGGAGGTCGCCTCTTCTCCAGCGTTCGCTCTACTAAAGTGGAAAGGGGTGGGAGGAGCTTCCACTTTGTTCTTGAGCTGTCCCCGACTATAAACAAGGACATATAAAAACATAGTTGATTTAAAAATGTCGACCAGCCACCCTCTGGTCAATCCTATGAAATATCACACAGTTGATTTTTGTTTGTACAGTTGAGGTGCAGCTTGTAATAGTCCTATTGCTAAATTACCCAAGTATCAAGGAGAGTGCAGGGACTGGTGTTCCACGCGCCGCACGTGCTGGCCTCAGCAGTGCGCGTTTGGCGCGTGGAACACCAATCCCTGCATTCTCCTTGATACTTGGGTAATACTGCAAAAGGTCTATAGAGCTTTTGCAATATTACAAGCAAAAAGAAAAATTTTTAAAGCTATATTTACTGCGCGATACGAATTTGTAGTTGGCGCCGCGGAAAAGTGGTCTCTATTGGTAACGTGACTCGTCCTTATTTGTCACGTGGTGCTTGCGCTCTTTCGGAAGCTTCCCATGGCCTCCAAAAGTAACTTATTCATCTTTGTTTGAAGTATAACAAAAAACTAAGATCAATAAGTAACTTTTAAAGCCCAAAGGAAACTCCTGAAAAAGCGTAAGCAGGCGTGATAGACCTGTGCGCCGGTCAGATGACGGCGGCGGCGGCGTGGAGAAACGCGTTGAAGCGGCGTCGCACAACGCTCAGCGTATGGCGGCGGCGTGACTTTGCGGCGGCGGCGACACAGCGCGGCGGCGCACAGGCCTACCACGTGACCAGCGGCGGCTCTCGCGGGCGCAAACTACAAATTTGTTTAGCGCCGTAAATATAGCTATAAATTTTTTCTTCGTTGTAAATTCGTTTTATATTCTTTTTCAATCTAGCTTGTTTAAAAAAACGATTTTCCTTTGCATGCGTCCTTTAACACTAAAAGATAACCCACTTCTAGTAATCATAGTATTCGGATCAATGATAACCTCGGCGTAAATTTGGCTAGTTAGCTAATGTAGATGTAAGCGCTGTTGACTGGGAAGTACAGTTATCTTTGCTTCATTACCCCTTGCCGCAATAAGAAGTTGGTCAGGGACGCAACCCAAAAAGCATTTGTTCACCTTTCCTTTATTGCACCCCAAAAGCTAGCCCACACCTAACCTTCACCCAATTTGCTCTAGGTGGGCTATCTCTCGGAAGTCAGGATAATATGGTAGTGTTGAAGCAAATTGACAATAACTAAACAGCTGAGAATCCAAGAGATCAGGGTGTATCTTGAGTGAAAGATTTTATGCATAGCATTTATTTACAGAAAACAAGTTCAGGCAGTAAATTAATCTGAGACACTGTATATAGAAGGACGTGTATCTACAAAGAGTACCATCTCATAAATATGCAGCACTTCTGTGAATGAAGAAAAAATAATACTTGACAATCATTGTCAATGCTGGCATCATTAGCTCTATAGGGAGCAAGAAAAAGAGTACAACACAGTGTATGCAGAAACATGCAGAACCTTCTCGGGCAAAATATAGAAATCAGTGTTTGGTTTATCGCTTTGAAACAGCTCCTCGCCTTTATCCAGACGGGCATTTATAAAAAAGTGAAAAATGAACACTGCTCACACTACAGCTAGTGCTTTGTACAGGGCCAATTGCTGCATTAGCAGTGACATGGTTTATGTGGCAGTCTATGAGCAATTAAATAGGGGGTGAAAACCACACCTCCAATCAATACTCTGTCACAACGGACAACATCGCGCTACCTCAGTAAACACCCTTCAAAAAAAAAAAAAAAAAACTGACAAAAAAAAAGCTAACACTGGAAACGTACACAGAAGGTGCTATTTTCCGCTTACACTACGGATGATGAGCAGACCAGCTGGAAAAGTAAATTAAAGAATAAGTCTCTCTTAAATGTGTACACAAAGAATGTTAGAAATGAACTGTTGAGAAACCACTGAATTTCCCACAAAAATAGGGCACCACATTCCTCGACACTACAAACTGCAAAAGGGGGAGGCATGTCATGGTTGCACAACCGACTTTTGGGGGCATGACACACGAGTGATGCAGGTCTGACCAACGTCCCCAGACAATGCAAAGGGAAGCTACAAGTTACAACCAGTCGCGTGGCTAGAGCACAACCAGATTAGAAGGGACGGCCATGTCTGTCTAACCACCTGCTAATCTCAAGTTGGTACTGGAGTGCTACCTTCCCTTCCAGACACCTACAACCACTTGACAGAATAGAAAAAGAATGCAAGGTGCAACCTCCCAGTTCTTTGCTAGTGCTGGGGAGCAGTATCCTGTAACCAGGCTTCTCTTGCAGAGAAAGGCTCCAGTTGCAAGGCAACTAACACAACCCGAGTCTCATGCGCTTGTCTTACGGTTCCTGTAGCTACACGGTGCTCAAGCAGACGTTGGTAGAATGAGAATCTGCACGTAGCCAATTCAATTGTTTATCATACTCAGAAAGACTGCAGCATATATATTCAATGCACAACAAAGAAGCCTGGGAAAGATTGAGCATGTCATTGTGTGGCTACAAGCACTGACACGTCGGCGCAAGTCTATTTCTGATCATTCCAAGAAAATGTTCTGTGAAAAGTATGAAACATTCGTCCGATGATTTGGAAACCAGTCGCTATAAAATTGCTAGTTAAGAAACTCACACCCCTGAAACTTTTGGGGAACATTCTATCAACCATATTGTTGAAAGCTAATTAATTAGGATAAGTGCCACACTACCAGATCCAAATTTTCTCTTACACTAGTTAAGCCCCTCCCCCCCCCCCTCCAACAAGGTTGAGTTCAGGCACTTTTAACATGACCATTTTGGCCTGCTTGGCACCACATTGAAACATTCAATCTCTGCTGTGCAACCCATGCCCAATTGCTATACTGACGGTCATGCAAGCTTCAAGCATACCCTTAGTTCACAGGTCTTATCCTTTGTTTACTAGACAAGAACATGCACTGTAAAATACCGCGCATCCGCCCATTCCACATTAAGTGCCAATTACCAAATTTCTAAGATCTGAGAAAATATGCACAGTACATTTACGTGTAAAATAGATGACTGGATAAGCACCCATCCCTCATTTTTTTGCAATTATCTCCAAAGTTCGAGTGGGCGCTTCCCAAATATTTTTACGGTAATTCAAATTCTTTTATGTCCTCAAGTTTGACACAAAAGGAAGCTGCTCTATCCGATATGTACATTCCGATCTTGAAGATATTATCTGCCTTCCTTTTTTTCAAATGCTTGTCAAACTGCAGGCTCAGTAGGACTAGTAAATTAGCTTGTGCAATTGAAAGCCTACATTAGAGAACATTGCTGATTTTGGAAATCACTGAAATGGAGTGAGTGTAAGAAAAATCAACATGTTTACATATTCATGTGTACACATTTCGGACACATTAAAGGCTCCAAATTGGACTAAGATGTCAAACATAACCTATTATTGACAATACACAAAAATTGCTTTAAAATTTACTTTTAAGATATTAATGCTTAGCAAGACCTAATAAAAGAACAGATCAAATTTAAAAAACTTGTACGGCAAACTTGCAAGTTATACTTCGTTGCCTGTGGGCAACACCAGGCAAAAGTCCGAAGTCTAGCGTAACCTCTATGGATCACTATAAAATGGTAATAATATCTGCTTATACGATAGACTCAAGTAAAATGGTCACCTATTGTAAAATGCTTGTCGCAAGAGAAAAACACTTATCCATATTTTTTGCCATTCTTCCGTTCTCAGTTGCTGCGTATTTGCGCGCGAAACTTCTTTTTTCTTGTCAACTATTTGCATATCTTTTCACTAGATGGTACTGTTGTTTCAACCTTCAAGACTTGCCAGACTATTAGATAAAATAATGTAATAAAACCCAAACCATTAAACTAAAAAAATTATTGTGGTTCCTTGCCTGTAAATAACATCCGTCAACAAAGGGTTAAGGAACCTACGAACCTAATGTATAAAACTAGTGAAGAAGAGTAGAATGTGCTTGGCTTAGGAGCAGTTACTACAGAGATGCCAACACGTAACTGACCTAACCATCAAAGCCAAGTTGGCTGACTAGCTCTTGAGCTTAGGAAGTACAGTGCAGCCTGCTCTGTAGAGGAACCATTTTGCCAGAAGGTTGCCAGAAGAATAGGGCTATAAAGCAATCCTTTGGGACATGTAAGATCTGAGGTGCTGGTTTTCAATGAACAGTAATAGTACACACAAAATGGTCCTTTAAATCATCTGATCTGAAAGGTGCAGGTTGAGCGATACAACGAGCTTCGGTATCTTCTGAATAGGTGAAAAACCGTTTTGCGAGACGCAATTCAAGGTGCAGCACTTTTCCCTCAGCTTATTTGTGGATGAAGCAAGTGACGCCACAACTCACGAGAGGAGAGGGAAGAAGGCTGCCCTTTCGAAGGCCCTGCAACATAACCACTGGTCTATTCTTAAGCATTTATAGAGCCACATGTATCTCTAACACACTCTCAAAGCTCATGGTTCAAACGTAATCTCATTCGCTATCTCTTGGGTACTCGCTCCAAGAGCCCGCTGTCTGCAGTTAACGATTTTCCACAGGAACAGACTCTCGGGCTTTGTCGCCAGGTTGCCGTAGCGTTTTACGATTTTCGCAGTCCGACAGACACCTTCCACCAGAACTGTCGCACCGACCACGGACAACCGTTTGGACGTGACTAGACTAAAGTTTTATATATAAAAAGAAATATGAATGGTCCCATAAATAGATGAAGCACCATGCACGAAAAATGTCACATTTCGCCAAACAGCCTAACTGCTGGATACTAATACAAAGGCCAGATGTCCTAAAAATTTAAAAGTATTTTTTGCACATAAAATTGAACGCAAGCTCGCAATCTAAGAATGTGCGATTTAAATAAAATGGATGCAGACGCTGCTGCATGCACTGCTGCCACAATCCACGAGGGTGCCCCTTGGCAGTTAATTAAGACGGGGCAACACCGTGCCACCTAGAGGACGTAAACCTCCAAGAGTGTCGGAGGAAGCTTCCTTGTTCTCCTCGACGCCGTAATACTGCATTTGCAAGCGACCGGGTCGGGTTCGGGGAGCGCCTTTGGAAGGGAACGGTTCCTGCGCCGAAATTGCAGCTGTCTTCTTCTACTCTAGGTCTCAAAGTGCTTGTAGATGGACGTGACGTAAGCCATGATGGACTGCCAGTCCGGACGTTCCAAGGCAATCAGCTCGCTGACAATCTGCAAAACATGTGCAATTTATTATTTTTTTTCTTAAATAAGATTATTTGTTGGGAATTTAAGCACCAAACCAACAAAAGGTATCTGCCGTGCCCCAGCAAAGACCTAAGGATTGATTTAGATCACTCGAGCTCATTTGACGTGGAACCGAAATATCGGTTGCATGAAATTCTTTTTTCCAAAACGAGCTTCCATCAAATTGCAAACACCTTGTCCCCGAGCAATGAGAGTGGCTGCATGAATATGATTGGTGACATGTTATTAAGGCTGAAGTAAAATAAATGAACTAAACAGAATATTGGGTTCCATTAGGTTGTTATATTATCATTAGAGCCTCGCAGTTTGTGACACTTCAAGAGCTGGTCCTTACAGAAAGATCTAAGGATTGCTCCGAGAATTGATCCTTGGAAGCCTACACTTATCTTAATTAAAGGGCCAGCACAACAACTTTAAATGTTGAAATAACTTGCAGCTCACACTTTTTATACTGTTCGTTTTTAGTCCAAGTGAAAGAAAATGTGCCACCTTCCTCCCAAATAGTGCAATTCCACTGCCTCATCGTCCAAAAAAAAATTTCAGGAGGTTAAGCTTCACTTGTGGAACGCGAGAGCTTAACATATAAACTCCCCCTTGTTCCCAAGCCCTGCAAGCATGTCTGCATGGCCTAGTCAGTAGCGTATCTGGTTTGTAACCAAAAGGTTGTGGGTTTGAATCCCGCATAGTTCAAATTATTTTCTTTAAGGCAAATGAATTACGTCATAAAATCAAATATTTTAGACATGCAGCAACCTTTCATTCATACTACTATGTCATGTTTTAACCACTTTCATCCCACGCGTGACGTCACATGAGCGTTGTGGGCTCTTCGAAATTCCCGCGTGAGGTCATGTGGCTGTGACGTCATGACCCTATCGACCGGTCAAAATTTTTCCGTCCCACCGACGCCAGCTTTGCTGCAACACCAGTTCCTTAATTTAATGCTCTCACGTTGAATATAAAACAACTTCCACAATCTGCGGAGGTCAACGAAACCATTTCCTCTCGCCCCACCTTTTCCCGTTTTTCCCATAGGGCACCGTCTTTTGTCTTGATTGCTACCCGACATAAACGATGCTAAGCCGGTGTGGTGCTCGATTGTGGCCAAGTCGAACCTTGACAGGTCAACGACCCCGAGGTAGGGCTGGGGGCCCCGAAGATGGAACCGAACAAGGTAATCCGAGCGGGGTAACCGGGCACTTTACTCGAACGACTGCGGAAGTTGAGCAGACCTTCGACTAGTTTCATTTACTTTTTAATAAAAAAACTAGCGCACACACCAAAAAAAGGGTTTTCTGTTTTCTATTCTATAGGTGACACAGACCAATTCTCGTAACCAACTGGCCAAAGTTAAAAAACTGTTGCACTGCCCATAAAAAAAAAAACACTGAAAAATAAAAATTAAATAATTTTTAACAGCCTGCAAAACCTTAGAGTATTATAAATGAATTTTCCACAAAAACTAGGTTTTTTGGGGTTTTTTTTTATTTACAGCATAGACTTGTTTTAGTTTATGGCTTTACAATGCGTGCGCCGAAAATGGGGACATAACGTCACCACATGTACACACCAAGGGCAGCGTTCTAATTTTCTTACCTCTCCTCCGCATAGCAAAATCACGTGCGAGAGAGAAAAGTGGAAAGGAGGAGCACTGAGGCACACTGAAGTGGTAAAGAGGGGTGAGGTGGCCAATGAGAACGCTGCCTGTGGCGTGTAGATATGGTGATGTTATGTACGCATTTTTGGCCCACACGTTTGAAAGCTGTAGACTAAAAGAAGTCTAAATATGCAAATGCTTGTGCACTAAATTTTTTTTTTTTTTTTCGGAAAGTTTATTTTGTAATATTTGTAATTTTTCCCAGATGTTTAGAATTTTTTCCCCTTTTTTAGTGCTTCTTTAACGAAAAGGTAACAAAGTGGCCCAATGCCATAACTCACCAGCGTGCTGGGGATTCCAACAGATTCTGCTGCTTCAAATGCAATGCTGAAATTCCTCCTCTGCAGCAAATGGTGAAAAGAAAAAAAGCCAGTAAGGACATTACATAAAAGTTCCCCTACACGCTAGGCACCTTTCACATTTCCTCTGCCATTGATAGGCGATAAAGGAGATTGCCAATGCTTTAAGTGGGCCAACTGAAAATATAATTCGCTCCAGTCATATTTTACATCTGAAAAAGGCGCTTAGAATGCGACTACCAGGAAAGCAAAGAACTAAATAAAAATTTGGGGGTGGGGGGACAATTTTACAGCCTGATGCGTTGACTGTGGCAGTTTTTTTGTTTATTTTTGTTTACGCTCACGCTGTCGTGAAAGTGGGGGACGCGCCACAAGCAGCTGCTGCTTCGATTATTTTAACTTACGCTCACACCGTTGCCAAATTTAGCAGGGAAACTGAAGTGGGGCATACCGTAGGTCATGTGACGTTAATTTTTCCACTATATTTAGTGGGAAACCTGTATTTGACTGCAGGTCCCGTGACCTCAGGTCACGTGACATAAATTTTTCCACCAAATATAGCAGGGAAACTGAACTGGTGCATAAGCCACCTGACGTAAAATTAGCCACTAAATTTAGCCGGGAACCTGAATTTGTCTGTAGGTCCAACGAGATCAGGTCACGCGACATATATTTTTCCGCCTAATTTAGTGGGGAAACTCAATTAATACGTAGGTCACGTGGCGTCAAATTTTCCGCAAATTTAGCAGGCAAACCGAATTTGTTTATGCCCACATCGTCGCGAAACCGGGGGGACGGGCCCGTTACAGCCATCACTCTAACATGGAAGTCCCAAAAGTGCTAATTCATGAAATTAGAATATGATCAGCCAATCAAAGTGGGACAATCAGGAACTCTGGGTTTGACAACACAACAAAATGAGACCATCAATAAGAAAAATTACCAATTGCCAAAAGAGAAAGATAATTGTTACGTGTGACGACAGGAAATACACCTCTACTAACTGTAATACTGCGTCGCACAACGAGCTTATTTCATCTCGTCCAGGCAGCTCCAATAAATACAGTAAACTTTCGTTGATTCAACCTCGACAGGAGCTCGAAATCTGGTCGAATTATCCGAATGATTGAATTAAAAAAAGGACAGAAAAACGGTTAAAATTAAACTTCCTTTTATTCTCCACAGTACTCAAACGGATGGTCTGCTGCCGTCTGTGCTTAAAACGCGCATCTAAAAGCATGCTCGGGAGAACAGCGTAACTAAACGTCACGACCCCAAAAAATCGCACACTAAAAAAAAAGTAAATTTTACGAGCTGACTTTGACGCCGGGCAGCCAGACAGTCGGCGACAGAAAAATATCAAAAAAAGAAAAAGGGAAAGAGAACCCACGCTTTCAGGTGCGCAAGATGGACCATACTTGATGCTACAAAAAAAGCGATTTGAGAGAGCGCGCTGTCTCCGTGCTCGACCACCACGCGTGAGAGCGCGCGCTGTCTCCGCACCCAACCACCACGTGCTATGTTCTCCGCGCTACTCCATGCCAGATTGGTTGCGCTGGCTCGTGTCATTCGCTACGGTCCATCTCAACGGCGTAGAAAAGCAGGCGCATATTTGCAGACGTTGGGCTTTACAGCAAAGGGCCCGTGTTTCGCCGTACGTTGGTAGCTTTTCTACCGTGGTGCCCTGCAATGTGAGCCTGCGCGTATTCGCTCGGGATGAATTATCCGATGCGGAGGCTTCCTGAGTTCAAACTATTGAACTTTTCCTCCCATAGAAATGTTTGGGTGCTCACCAGTGGGACCGGACATTTCATCGAACGCTGTTTCGTCGAACGCCGTTTCATTGAAGCTGTTTCATCGAATGCCGTTTTATCGAACGCCGTTTCATCGAACACCGTTTCATCGAAGCCGTTTCATTGAACGCCGTTTTATCGACAACATCTTATCGAACACCAGGGTAGCATTCCCGCTTCCTGTAGCTGGTCGGAGGTGCCCATCCCGGGTTCTGGAAGTTTTTGACTTGCATCGCCACAGAACATCAACTGTCGAAAGACAAGCTGGAGGCGATGCTGAGTTCCCAAAAGCCTCCTCGCCAGAAGATGGCCATAGCGGCAAGAAATGAGAAGGTCCGCCTTTTTTATGAGAACCGATGGACCATGGCTGTGGGGGACTTTTTGAGAGCAATTGCTCATCATTTGAAACGGTGAATGGCTGTCGCACGAACACATGAACGCCCGAAAGTTTTCAAATAAAATTTGAAGTGACATACTTACTTTCGACTTCATTGAGTCTTAAAACTAAAAAAACAGTGTTTCGTTGTAGTTTCATAAATAGCACCTTAGCTTTAGCTACTGCAAGCTTCAGGCAGTGAAAAAGTATCAATAGAAAAACATGAGAGGCTAGGAGGCTCACATGGCTAAAGTTGTTGCGTCTGCGCAAAACGTAAGTCGCGTTCTGGCCTCCATGAGTTGGAGTGCGCTCTTACCGGGAGTGTGACTTTTCATTTATTTGTTAGAATACCCTCAAGGCCCATCGGGTAATACAGAGGGGGTGAACAGATAAGCACTATGTGCGAAACAAACATAAAGATTGGTACAAATATCCTCATGGATTACTTGCATCAAAATAAATTGTAAAAGCTACAAGTTTGGACATTAAAAAACCTGACGATGAAATGGGTGAATGACACGAAAATGAACTCGATCCGTGCATAAAAGAGCATATTTCACACTTTTTATTTAAAAGACATTCTATGAAACGGCCGTCAGTGATTCGATGAAACGTCCATTTTTTCAATGAAACGGCGTTCGATGAAATGTCCGGGAATCGCTCGCTGGGACTTTTGAACACAATTGAATTAAACGAAAAGTCGAATTAACCTGGTCGAACTAATGACAGTTTACTGTACTTCCCTTCCGCTTGCCGTTTCGCTGAGGCGACATGGTAAAGTTTGGGATGCTACACGGGATCAGACCTTTGTTGATGCTTCAACAGCCCGCGCACCGAGCATGCGCACGTGCAGCGAAGGCGCGGCAGAAGGCACGAAGAGCGCGCCAGAGGCCGGGCGTTCGTATGATACGCCTGACTGTCCTCGCTCCATCAGCAACAGCGTCGGCAACAACCCGGTCCTCGGAGTGCCGAATTATACCGCCAAAACCGAGAGCTCCAACGTTTGCAAAGTGCACTCTACGGATCGGGGTGGTTGGGACGAACAACAGATGCGCTACCTTGTCCTTGCTGTCGAGCTGGTCGTACGGGATCTTGTCCCCGATGTACGTGTGAAGCAGGGCGCAGAAGGCGAGGCCGTCGTTCCAGCTGCTGCTGAAGTTGGTGATGTCGATGTTCTGCCAAACATAGAGTGAGAGTCGGTGCACAGCAAGGAAGGCTACGCCTACTACTTTGTACCTAACTCTCGGCAGCGGCTACCTAAAATCCCACTCGGCCAGATGCGTCGCGAGGCATGGCTACCTATTCGCGACTCCAGCGACCTATAGGGGGCGCCACCACCAAACAAACATGGCGGCTGAGTCCAGGTCGCGTCGGCTCGGCCGGGCCGCCTGAACAGGTGGCGCATTCAATTTAACATATTTTCTTTTGTTTAATGCCCAATTTTATAGGTATTTGAACTGAGACGGTTAACTGTAGCCGGTGCAGATAAACTTGCAAAGCATAGTTGTGTTTTGCCGGTGTTTTTTTGTTCTTTTCGTGACAAATTTTCGTTTCGGAGATTTAGTTCAAAACCGAAACTGTGGATTCCGGAGAGGCGGTAATATACTAATCAGTTTTGATCATCTAAGGAAAGCGGCGATGACTACAGAACTGTTCCACAGAGAGTCACTTTTTAGCTAACTCGCATGCCTCGACCATGCGAATTATCTGTTCGCGAAATCCAGCTTTTGTGCGTATCCGCGTTTAAAACAGCTCCAGTTGTCTGCTCGGTCAACAACACATGCTGCAGGAATTAAGCAGGCGCTTCTTGAGTCATGGACCATGTTAACCCGCTGGCGCCCCACTAAGCAGCTGATACTCGTATTTCAATTCAGGTTTTAGTAGCAATCGAGAAGTTATTTTGACGAGCGGTTTATGTATTATATTACGTATTATGTCCACTAAGGTGATATTAGTATATTCTTCGGGTTGAAATATGAGTTGACTAGCTATTAGGTGAGCTGCTGAATAAAAGTATATTTGACAGACAGAGAGATACTACTTAAACTTAGCCAAATGGTTCTATAGCCGGCAGCACAGAGACAAACTGAAGAAAGTATTCATCGAACATTCACGGAGAACCTCTCTGCATTGAACTTTGCTTCGAATCCTGAACGGAAAAAATGAGTATTTTATGTGGCCGGTCAACCTGAGCAAAGTAGACGTATATTGCTGCTGGCTTCGACGTCCTCGTAATATAAATATTGGAGGCGCGATAGGTCAAAATGTTGTGACAGCATCTAACGTTGCGAGACTCGTCCCCCACCTTTTTAAAACAGATAATTTCCATCATTCATAATTTGCAGCAAGCAGGTTTTCCTCAATCAAGTAATTGCGAAATCAGCCCAACTCCTTCAGTGTGGTCCAGAGGTTTTTTCGGCGAAAAGCAGCCAAGATATATAGCCAACGAACTGACCGGGGTGGGCGGCTCAAACTTGAAGCTATAGCCGAACACAACCAAACTCAAGAAAAGCAGCTATCGAACCTTCCCATTCACTTGACTGCAACATTGGTGTTCCCTCCAGTGAAATGCCTCATCTGTCGTCCTCAGTCCACTGTTCTACATCTTTATAAAGAGACCACTTATCAGTTACCAAGTAGTCGTCACTTTAAATATGAATCGAGACAGACAAGAAATCAAAACGTTTTTCCGTGATTCCTCTCCATCCAAGAAATCGAAAGCACGCGACCGTGTGCTGTGGAGTGAACGGGCTTTCAAACACGTAATAGAAGAAAACAATCTACTGAGGCTTCACCACACTAATGATCACTCAGGCAAACTTAAGAGATATTCGGACCTTCGTCAAAATACAGTGTTCGCGACCGCACCAACTACACGCTTCCGCGAAAGCCACCAGAGACGCGGAGGGGTGCGAGCGACCTGGACCGGCTGGTTCCCGGTTTTCCCGCTTGGTGGCGTCCGTTTTGCAGGAGTCGCGAATTGGTAAGCACCGGAAAACTTGGTCATCCGAGTGCCAATTTGCCCCCTATACCGAACAAATAAAATACCGAAACAAATATTGAATATGCCTACATTTTGAGCTAGAAGAGGCTAAAAGTTTGTGCCGAAAAACACTCAAAGATTTTACTATTTTTGAACTGTCACGTTAATCGCCTCTGCAGTTTACGCTCCCCTTCCCCCACAAAATATGAAAGATATTCAATTTTTCAAAAAGTGGTAAAGGAATAATTTGATAATTGATTCACATTCAATACACAAGTTGCACATTCGTCATTCTTGAAATATCTTGCTGCAGTCAAGTATTTAAGTTACAAAAAACGCATTAGGTGATTCTCCAATTAATAGTCTTGTGCGAATAGTGGATTTTGAGTTTGAAGCGAAAAGTGGTTTTGGCCGAATATTAATATCGAATAGTTTTTCCACGCCTTTCACTACCATTGCATAATGCTTAGACGAAAACCGAGCTAAGCCTGTGAAGGTTGTTCCGCTTGTTCATTTTATAAGGTAAGTTTAATCTATCTATATTTATGAGCTGTGACCCCAGAAGGTCTGGTGTCTTCGCATGGCAAGTAAACGACGGATATGACATAAAATGAATCCTGTAAAGCTGGCCAACTATACTCAATGGTGTCAATTTACAAATCTTGCTAGATAAAATATTCTTTCTTTAATTTCGAGTTAAAAAAGAATAAATCGTGCATGATGAATGCAGGTTGTAAGGGCATCTCTGCCTAATATAGTATACTCTTGCATAACAGTTTAATTTTAAACCTTTTAATTTTAAATGTCATGGCCGTACGGCTGGTGATCAGTGTTGCGATCCCTCTAGCAGATAGTTTCGGTTTTGCCGTAGATGCCCAGAACCAAACCTTGAGCCGTGATACTTATAAAACTACGCACAATATGGAGAAAACAAAAAATATACATTATTATTCAGGGTCACTGCTTTAGTTAAAAACAGTCGTAATACCAAATTTAAAAATATTGACAGGAGCTGTCCTTAAGATGAGATACTACCATAAAATCTTGGTAGTGGGACATGGAAGCTTCCCCAAAGATTGGCAAGACCCACCTTGTAGCCCAAGGTCTTGTTCTGGCACCACTTGAGCAGAGCATTTCGCTTGGAGCCGCCTCCCTTCACCAGAAATGCGAGGGGGTCTTTCTTCTCTAGGACGAGGTCACTGCAATATGATGAGGGGACCACGTCAGCACACACAAGCGCAAAAAATAATCATGCACGCTCACACATGGCAAAAACACGGCAAAACTCCTTCCGACGTGTTGCGCGCATCGAGACCAGTTCGCACGGTTGCATTGTGTTCTCTCGTAACGATCGGCGCCATCTGTCGGGAAACCCAGAAGCTGCATATTACTAGAACCAAGGTTCTGCAGTATTTGCGAGATCAGATCTATGCACCATGACGAACAGGATGCTAAGCACACCGGTCGGAGATTCATTCCAGGCACCGTTCCGTAACTGCTGCTGGGAGGCCCTCACCTGTAACTGTTCCTACGGATGGGCTCCAGTTTGTGAGAGAGGATCGACATCGGCAGGGGCTTCTCCGCTTCTCCGCGAGGTGCAGTCTCCGCCGTTGTTGCCTCCGCAGTCCCGTCCGCGCGCTGCTGCTGCTGCTGCTGCTGAGGCTGCTGCGACTGTCGAGACTGCAGCCTCGCCTTCTCCGCTTTCAGGCATGGCTGCGAGAGGCACGGAGGGTAAGTGTTTGCCGCAACCCGAGACTCGAGAGAACGCGGCGCATCTACCTACGGCAGGGGCACGGCAAGCTCTATGGACGCTGCCGGTAGTGTCAACGAGCTGGGACGGGCGTGGCAACGCGGCCATGAATGCACATGCAACGACAATATTCAAGAAAAAAAAAAAGAAAGGGCAGTTGCATGTGTTGAGAGCACTTTCAGCAGCTCAGCATACGAAGCTGGCAACGTGCACGCGATGATTATTAAAGTGTGCGTGGGCCCCACTTACGCCCGGCAATGATAAGTGTACAAAGGCAGACAACGAGATGTCCCGAATTCGTGATCTAAAAAAACTACGGTATATGACGTGGTTTCATCGAGACGTTCGGCAGAAGATGTACAACCCCCGTTCGTACCTAAGCCAGCGAGCATTCCTTCGTTACTTCCCATCCATTTAGTCTTGTTTGAAAGACCTTTTCACTTGTTCAGTTCCGTCACTTGTATAGCCGTTTTTACCTCAAGAAAAAAGCAACTTTTGCGCATTGTTCAACCGCAGCGCTAAGTAGTTCTTACGAGATTTGGCTGTCAGAGGAAACAGCTACGTTTTTTGGCGTTTGGACTGTGTACGTCTTGATGATTCGCCTGCATATATCTTAATTATCTGCATAAAGCGGGAAATTAGTAATGCTCCGGGAGAAGCCAGGCTTTTTTTTTTTTACTACAGTTCTTGAGGTGAAAACATGTATAGAATATGAGACACATTCGTAGCGTTTTCCGGACTATAGTCCGAGCTCAATGTATAGTGCGCAAAAGCCAATTGCGGCTGGAAAAAAAAAAAAAAACTTAGTTTTTTGTTTTGGTGAAGGAAGACCAGCAAAGCTGTACTATGGTGGGATGACCATAAGGATGACTTCTTGGACGACCTCAAGGACGACCTCTTTTACAACCTCAAGGACAACACTTAAAGGACGATGTCTAGGATGACCTCAAGGACGACGTCTAGAATGACCTCAGGGACGACGTCTAGAACGGCCTCAAGGACGATGTTTAGGACGACCTCTAGGACGACCTCAAGATGACTTCTAGGACGACCTCGAAGACAACCTCTCGGACAACAAACAAAAGATTTTCCTTAGATAGTTTGCACCCGATTCATAGTATATAAGCGGAGCCTAGTCTGCACTTAGTGCCCAATCCGAATGTAAAAATTATCATACGCAGCACACCTTGACAAATGCTTGTTGTATTAGCTCACAAAGGAAGCTGTATCATGCAGAAATCACCATTAATATACTTTGTTATTCATAAAATTCTTTGCATCTTGTCATGGAGAACGATCTCAAAAATGACAGAACTTTGTATAGTCCGCAGATGTGGATAGTCCGCACCGGGTAAAATTTAAACTTCTAGACATGTATAGTTCCCGGACTATACACCAGAAAATACGACACATGTCACCACTTTCACCACAGTTGCGGTCTACTCGGCAAAATGGACGATTCACCATCAACATCCTGCACTCTCTTTAATGCAAAAGGAAGGCCACAACGTCTGCCACACTTCTGTCTCCCAAGAAGGAATTACCACATATTCCGGTTAATAAGTAGCATGCCCTATAAACGGCCGTTTTCACGAAAAAGTTGGTATATAAGTCATAATTCTTTGTACAGTTGGCGGAGTCGCTGCAGTCACCAGGCCTATGCCGCCACACTTCAGACCGCCTTTGAACTGCTGGAAGAGCAGGCCACTGGCGGGCATGGGCGGATATAGACCGACACGCTGTTTACAAACAAGCTCGTGTTCGCCCACACCAGGTGTGGGCACTGCACAAGTGCAGAAAGCAGATTTGCGTGAGGTGAAGCTGGTGACAACAGCGCCACCGCAGAGGCATAACGTCAGAGCCGCGTTTTGGTCTACAGAGCCGCATTTTGGTCATTTACCCGGAATATGTGAAATTAGGCCTAACAACTTTTATGATTACACTGTCCGAAAGCGACCACGGACGATGGCTTGTTTGCTCATATCAACGCATCTGATCGGCGAAGAATGTCCGGGGCTTGGCAATTCCTCGACCTAAGCTTCTTCAAGTGTGCGCGACACTCGGTTTCACGGATGATACTTCCGTAACTACCGCAACTACGCGCTGTGGCCATTACAAGAGCGGCCTGGCTTGGGTTGACTTGGCTTGACTTGGCCTGCCCGCTTGGCGGCAAAAGAAAACTGGCTTGGGGGCTTGCTAAATTGGACGCAATTCGACACTCGCGGATCCGAAAATTGGAGGTGTGTTGATTACGGGAGGGAAAAAAAAAGCCAAAATATTGATGCCCGCTGTGGGGGGTGCGTTTATTATGCAAGCTCGTTTATCATGCAAGTAAATACGGTATTCAAAGAACTCAAGTACTTCGAACACTAAAAGTGCGAAGTGAATCGAATAGCAAGCACTATTTGTGAAATATTCAGTTTTGTATATTCGCGCACCCCTAATTTTTTTTAATGAACAAATTGATATACACTAGTTAAAAGTTTGGTTTTTGGTGACATAGAAAATATTGGGTGAACAACATAGTTATGGGCAACGTTTAGGCCGTAACGTCATCTCTCAGCAGAACCCCCCCTCTTCCTTCCTCCTCCTCCTCCTCCTCCTCCTCCTCCTCCTCCCCCCTCCCGCTAGCCAAATACATCTCCCCCTCCCCCCAAATCCGTCCCTCCCGGCAAGTGCTCTGCCCCTCCTCATCTGTCGTACATGTCGGTACTGCCTACACCTAGCGCAGTTAAGGTCTATACTAATGCATAAAAAAACTCGTAGAAGTTGCACCATCGTACAAAATGCAGCAATGGAAACTTTTGAAAAAAGAAAAGTGTGACTTTCACGCTGGAAAATATGGTACACCAAGAGAATGAAGCCCACCTTAGCGAAGATGTCTGCCGTGTTCCCTGCCAGCAGTGCGCTGGCTGCTGCTGACCTAGAGTCGGAGGCCAGGCTGTTCAGGCTGCTGGTGGATGAGCTCCTGCTGCTGGGGCCTGCAAACAAGCGCAGTGGCGTCGATCAAGACACTGCAGAGCCTTTTGTCCCTTTTTACAGCAGAGCTGTTAAGGGCTAGGTTCCCGAGGATTGTGTCCGGTACAAAACACTTGTCGACAAAAACGCCTCTGGACAGCTACTGCCATCTATAAGCGACGGCGGCAAGCACGCAACCAGTATGGTTGCCGCCGTCGCTGGTACATGGCGCCAACCTTTGCAGCTATCATAGAAGAGTGGATAGTTGGGCGGCATGTTGGTGGGAATTCATCATAGGAAGCCGTGCGAAAAACAGACGACGACAAAGAAGAAGCACACGTAACGAGCGCAGCGCTCGTCACGTGTGTTTCTTCGTCCTCGTCTGTTTTGCGTGCTGTTTCCTTCACTCTTGAGTTTCGGTTTGGACTCAGGATGGGTCAGCCGCGTGCCCTTTCGTGCAAAGAAGACTGGCTGCGTAAGGAGCAGCGACGTACGCAGCAGTGCGAATGGGTCCGTAACCGCCGCAAAGCCGCTGTCGCCTCGACTTCCACTGCGTCGAGCACTTCAGATTCCCTTGCCAAAGAAGAGCACATCGCTCGCCTGGAAAGCCGCCGCCGCCGTGAACAGAACCAGCGATGTAAAGGGCACCAGCGGGCCAACGCTACGGACGACGATCATGCCACGGAGGCCAAGCGCAAGCGCGAGGCCTGGCGACGACTGCATTTTACGCCGGCTGAACAGTTCCCGGGCGCGACGACAACGATATTCCAGAGGGAGCTTGTGGATTACCCGTTTGGCGTCATGTGCGCCGTGTGCGACCGACTCTGGGTCGCCGGAAACCTATCCACGATCGTCAGTGTGTCGGACGAAAAGAAGCGGGAAACGGGCGCGTGCGCGTTGCAGCAGTGTATTGAGTACAGCTCCGCTGGTCTTCCTTCTTCACGAGAGTGGAAAGGCTGAACGTTTTTTTCGTTACCAAAACAACATGTGCGGTGTACACCACAGTCGGCGACAGGTTAAGAGCTTCAGGGAAGCTCTTCCCATTTTTTTCCACTTCACCAGACTGTATACTGGAAAGGAGGCACCCTCCACTTCAGCGTTCGTTCTGCTGAAGTGGAAAGGGGTGGGAGGAGCTTGCCCTAAGCTCTTGACCTGTCACAGACTACAGGTGCCACCATGCAAGCTAAAGTTAGCCACACAAAAAGTGGTGAAAGAGTGCAGACAAGCTGATGTGTCGACGACACGATACGAAACTGTCGGATGGGAGATATAAAACAGACAACGCTATGGTCTCAGGTTTTCACGTTGAAATTTAGCGAGCAAATTGCCTGTGCTCTTCCTCAAGTTTTGGGAGTTGGCCCTTGCGCGGTCCTGTAAACTTCTTACGAAGATCTGTGTCCGCTGTTTCCGCCAACAAATCATGCAAGCCCAGTCAACTCACAAGTGCTCGGCGGCGTGATTTCCGTTCCCTTCCGCAAACTGAATCACAGTTCGCTTAAACTTCAGCATACTTGAAGTCTGCTTTACGCTCATGTCGATTCTCTTAAATTTTTTAAACTACGCAAACAAGGGAAATGGTTCCCACACAGAACTCGCCAGGCCTAATCGCGGTTGGCGAATGCCATGCACCAATATGGTTAGCTATTGCGCCCGCACTAGCGCCATTTGGGAATCACATGCCGCCATCCATAAACTGGTGTTGAAACTGAGCACCAGCAATGCAAGTACCGCACACCGTTGCATGCCAGAAATCGGGATTGACGAAGCGCCAGGAGCGTGGAAGATCGCACTCAACTCCAATCTGTTTTTTCTTGCATAAAAAGGGAGTGCTTACATTTGCATGCACTTTCTTTTTTATTTCCGTTTTCCTGTACTTAGAACCCAAAATACGGTACTAAAGAGGACTCGGGAATATCAAAGACGCTTAGGCGTTTTATAGGAGATCAATAATTTCCCTAAAAAGGGGGTGGGGAGACGTCACAAGGCTGAGGGTCGAGCGACATTTATAGCGGCAAGTACCACATTTCCACAAATATAACGCAAGTTCTTTTTCTGAAATCACATGCTTGAAAACGCACCTCGCATTATATTCAGAATTGAGTTCAGCCCCAAGGCACGCGAGTCTAGAGAAAGCCTTCCCTCCATCTCAATGCAGGAGATCGGGTGGGAAAAGAAGTGGGGGTGTGGGAGGCAATTTATTACTATTCGGCCATATAGAAGGGGGAATATAAAAAACCATAAAAAGCATTTTTATCGCTTTTGTGTTTGTACAGTGCACGCCGAAAAGCACGCCAAGGACATGCAGCGCACCACGCGGGAATGTTGGCGCTGGCCAATTCAAGCCAAGTCAAGCCAGGCTAAGTCAACACAAGCCAAGCTAAGACAACCCACAGTGTTTACGCGATTGTGCAGCACAAGGTGTTTGTTTATGCAGAAAGAACAGAAGAAAAATTAGTGTGATTGTGTATCGGGTCCAGCAGTTTGAGGGGGGGGGGTGTGTATGTTTATTCAGCCTAGAACTTGGTGCGCCTCAACAGGCAACAAGTCTCCCAGCTGTAGGAAAATTTCGCCAGTGCAGTACAACGGCTAGCCTGGTGTCTTTAACGTGCATCACGCAGTAGTGATACACAACCGCACGCCGGTACGATGCTCATTCAAATCGAAACGGACAGGGGTGGGAATTGAACCCAGGATCCCTGGGTTCTGCAGTGCGAGCTTACGCTCCTTGGCTTCGAGCTGGTGTGTGCTAGCCCACTCAGCCACCGATCCCCCTTCGGGTCCAGCAGTTTTTATTCTGCCTGTGCATATTTTTTAGTTTCTGCTCCAGAGTGGTCTGGTGTTTGTGAATTGGTGCTTCTGCTTCCTGCCTTGCTTTGCTTTTGGGCTGCCGAGGAGCTCACGCCAAAGAAAAAGAAACTACCAGACAAGTGGTGCCATGTTCCTGCATATCTGCAAAGAACTCGCCCACTGGATTGCAAATGAGAAAGACCTGAGCAGTGAGCATGAGTGCAGTCAAAACATAAACTGATATTTCTTCGATTTTCATTGCGTTTTCACTCCTACTATGCCTCCGAGTGCGGTAAATTTTCGCGGCCTCAGCTTGCGTTCACATTATAATAGTAATAATCTTTTTGTTCTTTTTGAGGACATCAAAACCTGCCCTCGTGTTATATTGGTGCAAACACTGTGAATAATACCCCCGAGACTTAATGCAGAGCTACAAGTCCAAGTTGCGTGGAATGCCATCGAAGGCACGGCCATGCAAGCGCAGCTCCAGAAAACTCCTCGTTTGCGCAAGCACCTGCGCTCGCACCGGTGTCTCCCATGATGCCACGCACGATTCGAGAGGGTAGAGCACCCCACAATATAGCGCCGCTTTCGCTCAGATGCGAATGTGTACGATACCGTCCAAGAAGACCTTGGTTAGCACAGGTCCGAAGGAGCCCGGGCGGAGCGACGACGGCGGGCCAACGTGGGTCCGTGCCGTCGCCTTGGGGCGGGGAGCGAAGAATGACGCCGCACCTTTGGCCTGCTTGGTGGCGTTCTCGATGGACTCGATGAGGCTGCGCACAGAGTGCTGGGCACTACTGCTGCTGCTGCTCGGCCGCAAGTCCCCCCAGCGGCTGCCCAGAGGCTTGCGCAGGGGGGACGCCCCGTGGGGGGTCGCCTCGGGAGGGGCTCCTTCCTCCCCTCTGTCGGGGAGGGGCGCCTTGGGGGAAAGCTCCTGCTGCCGGTTCTGCTGCTATGGGGGGAAGAGAGGGGTGGCACTTTGGAGACAAGGCCTGGAAGGAATCGCACCTCAAAACGCGAGCAAGTCGGTTTCGTGTCGAAAAAAAAAAGACTCGCGAAGCGGCGTGAACACAGCGGGCGGGGGGGGGGGGGGGGGGGGAATGGGTCAACACGCACCCCAGTGATACACACACAAAGCAGGAAAGCCTTTTTTAAACAGCGTCCCCCTTTTTTTCGAGGCTTCGCTTTCTCTAAACAGTGCTTCGATAAAACGTGCCCGTTCTTTAAAACGCGCTTCGATGAAATGGCTTTTGATCCACCATAGGGAACTCACAGACTTCCCCTCTCTCTCGGCCTGGACGGCCTTGTTTAAGAGGTTTATTTCTGCCGTCCCATCATCTCGTCTCGATAAGGCCTCGTGTCCCGTTTCTGCACGAATGTGCACAGTAATTGCAAAATCAGTAATAAGCAAATGGAAGAGACTGAAAGGATGTTTGTGTACTTGCCACAGATGTAATAAAAATAAACATACTATGAAAATGTTACCTCCAACAGAGTACAACTTTCAGTTCTTTCTGCGAATACGACAGCCAATACATTTTTTTCGTTTCGTATAGACGTGTATGGGAGATTTTCTACATTACTGAACTTGGCATGGGCACTTGCGTTCACAACAAAGACCTAAAAAGAGTGTATTTTCATGTTGAACCAGGCTACAGTGACTACGTAGTAAAAGTCTTTTTACTCTCACGATTATGGTCACACTACACATCTGGCCGAGTACAACTCGGAAGATTGACGAATAGGCTTACAATCTTGCAATGTTCTGCGCAGCATGTACTGGTTGCAAGACTCCGTGGCCGATGCAGGGCAGCACCCAGGCTAGCCCTCCATGGGCTCAGACATTTTGCTCATTCTTATCGGTAAACATTCTTAAAATATGATCATCATATCTGTCAAGTTTGGACAAGCCAAATTCAGAAGACTTTATAAGACGGTGGGGGGGGTTAAGAAATATTGACAATGAATTTACATGAAGATGACGTCATTACATTTGTATTGCACTGCACACACTAGCAAGATACACCTGGGTTCTCACTAGGGATGTCGCGAACCACCCTAGGTTCGATTTCGAAAGGTTTCGATATTTGCGAAGCGAACTAAGGTTCGATTTCGAAAAATTTCGATATTTTCGTACCGACCGAGGTTCGATTTCGAAAAATTCGCAACTTTTGTCCACAGCGGAGTTTCGAATTCGAAAATTTCGAAGCTTTCACGGTTTCTAAAATTTCGAATTCGAATATTTCGAATATTTTTTTACTTCAGGTTCGATAAATTCGAAGATTTCGAAATTCTTTGTAAAAAGAATTCGAAAACTTCGAAAGCTTCGAATTTTTATAGACATGAAGTTCGAACAATTCGAAGATTTCGAATTTCTTTTGGCTTAAAGTTCGAAAAGTTCGAAAGTTTCGATTCTCTTTTAACGCTACATTCAAAAAAAAAAAAAAAAAAACCTTCGAAGATTTTGAATTTTTTTCTAATCCAAGTTTTCAAAGTTTGAAGTCCGATTTTCAAGTTTTTCTACAGTTTCAGTTTCAAATAACGTTTTCACGACTCACTTGTTTTCACAAAATCAAGTTTAGAAAAGTTAGGGTGTGATATCTAGATTCTGCGAAGTTGGTAAGGCAATTAAATGAGACGACGAGTGTCCCGGACGTGCTAGAATATTTGCCAGTGTAGAATTGTGACCGCCAGCCCCCCGGGGGGGAAGGGGGGGGGGGGGGGGTCTTTGTCACGCAGTAGTGATTGCACGAACACACTGTTTTACGAGACTCATCCAGTTCGAAACGGCCAGGGGCGAGCAGGAGGTTGAGGCTCAGAAAAACATTGAAGCGACCTGGCAAACTAGCTCGCCACCCCTTGCACGCTGGTAGTAATCCGATCCGGTGAAGTTTATAATTGTCCTGGAGGTTTATTTTCTGGGACGGAGGAATCGCCTCGCAAAAAGCACAAAAGCCGACACAACTCGAGGTCGAGGAGCGTTCTACCATACAAGTGGCGTCGGAAGAGGAAAAACGGGGGGAAAGAGGATAGCGGCGGGGGGGGGGGGGGCTTCAGCCTCTTTCTCCCCTTTGCAGGTATTTCGGACTGTTAAAGAAAACAATACGGGGAAAGAGGGCGTGGTCGAGCTTATTTTAATCTGAAATTATTTATGCATATGTATAGCTACTGTCGCTCTTCACTGCATAAAAGGTTGCGTAGATGGTCACTGTTAGAAACTCGTTGTCAGAAGGCACTGCTTGTCACATGCTTAGTGGTTCGGAAGTTCAAAGCTGTCTTTTCGACCTAAACACCTGTGCCGATAGTAACAAAAGAAAAAAAAAAAAAAAAAAGAATAAATGCGGGAATAAAAAGCAGGAGAAAAAAAAACTATCAAGAATTCGTCGGAAGTGTTCTATTCGTGCATATTCAGAGGTTCAGAACTTCGAAACAAGTTTCTTTTACCAAAATGTGTACAGGCTAAAAGAAACACGTCCCAAAAAACGTGAAGCGAAAAAAATAAGTTTTCTTTTAATGACGTGCTGAACTTGAACACTACTAGAAATCTTCTGCAATGAGTTAATTTATTCCTTAACGTGAAAAAACAATAAATATATTATTTTGTATTCTGCAGATGGCAATGATATGTACTGTCTGTGGTGCTAATTTAAATGCGATACCTCAAACAACTTAGACGAAAATAAATATCAAGTTTAGGTCATAATTGCATGCAGATACATGTTTGGACATTTCTTCGAAACTCACGTTGAATAACAATAATCACATCTTAAGACGGCACTGACCTAGGCTATACATAGATCATTCTTAAAAAAGTATAACATACCTACCATAAATAGCTCCGGCTGCAGCGTGCTTCAAATCTGGCACAAACGATAATCGTCAAAAACCCGTCGTCCGTCCTCGCCCCTTCGGGGATTTATTTCTTTAAACCTAAGCATGCCAGAACATTGAAATAAATGACATTGTCTTTCGTAAGGAACGCAGCACCGCGCGTAAAAGTTCGAGAAAAAAAAATTACGAATGTACCCCACTCCTTGAAATCAAATGAAACCGGCCGCCGGTCTTTCGAAGTTCGACGAACGTCGAACTTTTACCCTAAAAGTTCGAAGTTCGTCGAACTTCAGACTTTTCAGAATTCGAAAGTTCGAAACTTTTCGAAGTTTCTTGATAAATAATTTCGAAAGTTCGAAATTTATCGAATATTTTGGTCAGTCAAGTTCGAAAGTTCGACAAGCATCGAACCTTGCAGCGCAATAAGTTCGAAAGTTCGAAAAAGATCGAACTTTTTAGCGTAATAAGTTCGACGGTTCGAAAAGCGTCGAACTTCTTAGCTTAACAAGTTCGAAAATTCGACCTCCGTCGAATTTTACGATATAGACAATTCGAAAAATCGAAATCTTTCGAACCTTTCGAACCGCTTGATTCGATCATCGAAACTTCGATTCGAAAAAAGTTCGCGGCATCCCTAGTTCTCACTATCATTGCTGCCGTCTGTTGCTACGGCAAAAACTCCTCGTTTTGTGGGGAAGAGAGGTGGGGGGGGGGGGGGGGGGGGGGGTATTTTACATTTTCCATGAGATTTTTTTGTGGATCATACAACCGTATGAAATGGTCGAAATTTCAAAGTCTCCCGGGTAATATGGGAGACTTGGCAGGTATGTATCCTTAATCACTTTCCACAGGACCCACCTTGAGCTTTGCCAGCTGAGCCTCCAGTGCCTCCAGCTTCTCCTGCAGCTGCTGGTTATCGCACTGCAACCGCTCCACATCCTGCTGGGACTCCGTCTTGAAGTCATTGGCCACACGCACTGTCGTCAGCAGGTCCACCTCAAACTGCTTCCACTCTTCCGTCTGGCCAAGGGAGAACAAGGACTCGTTTAGAGCCGTTACCTTCCGTTCGGTAGGCGGCGGCTGTAGTGCTGCAGGGCGTATTCGGCAACACTGCAAGTGCTGCAAAGTGCTGTAGTCCAATTTGGCAAGGAGAGCACCATGAGTAAAACTTTTATGGGACAACCATTCTTTCCGCCTAATAGGTTTGATTTTGAAAAGTGGATTTTGAGCTGCTCTTACGAGTTTGCAATTAGGAAACTTTTGAGCTTTAAAGGGATACTTCAACCAAATTTTAAAGATACAGTGTAGACCGCATATAACGTATGTCGCGGGAGTCGCGAAAATCCGCACTATAAGCGGTACCGCACTATAACCAAAACATCAATTTTTCAGGTCAAAATACATGCCATCAGACAACTTACCTTTGTAAAAGAATTTATTTTATGTTAGATAAAAAATAAAGCTTAGTTTGAGGAAAGTCTTTATCCCACCAGACTAGTACACTTCTCTCTCAAGTGTGTCACACATTTTGAAACAAATGAGCGGCTTTTGCCTGGCGCAGCCTGTTAGCGGCGTCGCGGATTGCGGACGGATGTTGCGAGCGTTCAGGATTGCTAACCCTAGTCACTTTTCTCCGGAGATGAAAACGCGTGAAAATTCGCATCCTTCATACGGTACGGGCCAGTAATACCTTGCACTTGAGCACATGCATGAAATGCGCCAAAAAAGAAATCCGGGCGATGTTCGAGGACACAAATGCTTAGAAATCACCACTGTAGTCGAAGTAAACAAACACGACGACACGGGCGTTTCTGCCGACTTGAGAGCGCCGCCACGACATCGCCGCTCGAGTAGGTGGATCTTAATTCTCTTCTAATACGTGCCGGGTTATCATAGCGACACACGACGAAAATTCACAGTCAAGGATAGCGCTTTTACGCGGAACGATGAGATGAACGCCGTCTACGACGACGATCACAACGTTGATCACAACCGACGCCTTGTTCGCGGATAGAAGCAGCCGGCCCGCGACGGGCATGCAACGCGCGCAAACACTTCTCCTGTCGTTGCGGTTGTTGGTTTCCAACGCAGTGGAGGGACGCACGCACGTGAACGACACGTGCGTGCGTCCCTCCGTCGCTAGGGCAACTGAAGCCTCTCTCTTCGCTTCTCCCGCTTCTTCGAGCACCCTCCTTGCCCCGCGAGTGCCGCTTGCGCAACGCTTGCGGCTCGCGCCGTCAGCGCAGTTATCTAGTGTCGCACAGCGAAGCGTGCTCGCTGCTCCGGTCGTCGGTGCGGTCGGCGGGCTGTGCCAGAAACCGCACTATAACCGGTATTTCCCGTCGCGCGCCTGCGTTTTAAAGCGGTATGTAATTACATGGAGTTCTATGGGAGGCGAACCGGTGGTTTAAAAAAACCGCGTTATACCCGGTCCTGCACTATAAGCGGTTACGTTGTAAGTGGTCTATACTGTACCCGTTGTTTTCAGAAGTACACTGAATACGACCCACAATATCCGTAAATGGCAATCGCACGTTTTTATTTTGAGCACGATGGCTGTATTTTTCGTTATAAATGGCCTACCCTGGCAAGCGCTCAGAGAGCAGCCAGTGGAGAGCATGTGACATTCGGAGCAATCGTGACATAGATTGTCTCGGGACGAGCAAAGCTGCAATGAGGCTGACATTAACAGGATGTCCTAGCCGTTTCAGCCACCGAAGCAGCTGAAGCACGCCAGGGATCGGGCCATTGCAAATAACCGCAAAGCTGCTTTTGTACGAATTTTGAGTGACAGGTTAATCTTCTACATTCTTCTAGCGGGACAATAGCGACATATGGAACACGCAAAAGAGAGTCATAGTGAGAGGGGCGTTCCTCGTTCCCCTCCTCTCTTGGTGACCAAACAGCTGGCGGGATGACGTCAGGTTCAATGCATGCATAGTTTTAGGCAAGACAGGCATCGTCACTACCTGTCAAGGTTCCTAGACTGGAATTACAAACGAGGCTTTGGCGACATCCACCAGGTGCCTTTTGCTAATCCTTTACTTCAGATTAAAATTCATTTTCTTGTATTTTTCAACAAGAGATTGGTGCGTCCGATGTGATACTGCTCCTTTGAACACATATAGACCAAGAAATAAGCGCCTATATTTCACTATAGTATCCTTTTAAGTGGCACAAACCGTTAATATAATCTAACGGCACAGACTGCACCGCAAGTCAGTTTAGAGACGGGTATAGTAATCAGAAATGAGCACCAAGTCCCTTTTCTCGCAGCTGGTGGCAGAGACCAACCTATCAGAACTGTTGAGTGCTGGTCTGCGAACCAAGCAAATTCAGTCCCCAAAGACCTTTTTCGCTTACTCTAGTCCCCAGGTGCCAAGTAGACATATCCGGTATGGGCAACCAAAAGATAATAAAACATATTAACCTGCAAACAGTAAAAAATAAACGAGAGGAAAAACGAGAATAGGCAACTGTTACGCTTATATCCTAAATGCATTCTATTGGCGTGGCAAAGGCAAAGAAATGTTTTTGCCGATACTGGAAGTCACAATATTTCAAGATGGCGGCACCTTGTAAGAAAGGGTCTATAAACAACTACGGTGAACATTGTTTTTTTTTTCTCCAACTTTTATACAACACTACCCCACAATTTCATAGCCGGTTCCTATGTACCATGTGCCAGAAAATTGAAGGTCGGCTAGAACAAGCTGCACGGTTCCAAATCGGCAAGCACAGTTCCAAAGATTTCTATCAAACCCACAACGGCGCGAGGCCACAGTCCAGGTCTCGCCGGATCTGCCATTTTGGAGCCTAGAGCACATTCCCAATCGGTGCGCCTACCACGCCCCCAAAACTGTTTTTTTTATTTTTGCCTGACGACGTCATAAACCGCCATTTTGGCGGAGGTACAGCAGCGGAGACCCACTCTGCCGTAGGCTGCTTTTCAACTTGACATTCCACGGAAGCTACGGAAGCCAGGAGTCTAACGCCACGACGACAGTGACTTTCGTGACAGCTCATGCCCTTTGCTGGAACCTCCGCGACCACCAGGACTGCAACATCCGACGGCGCAACGGGCCGGCTCGTGCGACGTCACTTGTTGCCATCTTGGGACCACTTTCGACGTGCGAGCGGCAGGGGATGCTAAAGCACTGATCGGGGACTCGCCTCTAGGAGGTGCTTGGAGCGCAGGTCCTGCAGGTCCCTGCGTGCGGCCCCGAGCAGGGCGCTGGTGTCGGCCAGTCGGTTCTGCAGTTCCCCGACCTGGGCCCGTAGCTGCCGCTTGTCCTCCAGCTGCCGCTGGCACTTGGCCTCGCACTCCTGCACCAGCTGCGCCTTCTCTGCCTCCAACTGCTCCACGCGCTGCTCCAGGCTGGACACCTGGGCAGCGGAGGCGGCACCGCCCGTGTCAGGCTCGGCACGTAGCCCCGCGTCTAAGGGGGCGGTGTACGGTGCACTTCGGCACGCTCCAAAGCCCGAGCTCGTGAAATTGCTTTGCGTGCCACTGGTGGGTAAGAGATGGTGCCAGCTCCGTGAAGCAGTGACCTAGGTTCTAGAGCCTTTAGATAAGCCATGCCTAAGAGTAATATGCCACAAAGGTCGCAGTGTTTTGCCCTGGGCCTTTGGCAACTGCCCAAGAGAAAATGAAAGAGGTGCTTTTCATCTTTGTTTAAAAAACCCGGCAGCAGTTGTAAAAAGGCACTTTCTGAGTTTTTTAAAACCCGGAATCTTGTTCCAGAATCACACCTGTAGTCGAGGAGTCCACGGAGCTCAACGTAAAACAAATTTTCGGAGGCGTTTGGGCAAACTGAATGGCCCCAATTGTTTCTGAATTGGGGGGGATATCCCCCACAATTCAGGAACAATTGGGGCAATTTGAATATCCTAAACTGGCTGAATTAGTTCCTATAATTCAAAAACTGGTATAAACTGGAAAATACATTTGTTGGCCTGCCTAACTTGAAAACTTGTCCGCACTAGGTCTCGATCAGCTCAGAACTTTAAGCGTAAACAAACAGACTTGTTGTTTTAAATAGTTCGCACTGATTGTGACAGATGCTTCAAAGGAACACTCATAGCATTAAAAAAAGAACATCACACGCACAAAAGAACTGCCATAACACTTGCTTGTTTAGCAAACACAAAATGCCTGCCATAGGAGTAGAGTGGCGCTATATGCAGTCTGCCCATAGCGCAACAGAATGGCAGTTGGGCACTCTAAAGCTATAGTCCATCCCCTCAAATGTCTACAGTACATACGAAGGCACAGGCAAACGACATCAGTTCACCAGAATGCTTTTGTTCGTACGAGAACTTGAGCATTTAAGGGGGATCACTGGTCTTAATTGGAGCTCTCTTCCTTTTTTTTTGACCAAACCCAATAAAATAGCGCAAGCTTGTTCAGAGTTCTTTTGCTGGTTACAGATATCTGGTATTTTTTTAAATTGGTAGATTAGTTCTTAGGTTAATTATAATTAACTGACCTTTTTTTTTTTCTCCAAAAACAATAGTGAAAAATTATAAGGAAAACAAAATCATGCTTCACATGGGTAGATATTACAAATCATAGAAAAATGCAATGTTGGAAGCAATTGTTAGATTGAATAGTTATTAGTCACTTTCCAACACATTGAAGTTCAGAGTTCAATGTGTAGCTACCAAGCAATAAAAAAATAGTTCAGTTGAAAATTTTCCTATACCCATATTGAAAAACCTGCTTCCAACATTGTATGCTTTGTACATTAAGGGGGGACACTACCCAGAAAAAATAATTTCGGCAAAAAAAGTTGATTTTAAAAAAATGTCATATTTACATCCGCCAACACCTAGAGAGTATTCCCAGAAAGTTTCATTAGTTTACACTGCATAGTTAATTTTTTATAAATAACTTTCGATCCTCCGATACTAAAAAAAGGCAGGAATTAGAACACTTTGAACACAATTTTCTCCCTTCCACTTTTTGGCATAAATTTCGCTTTAGGAAAACTATTGTTTTATTATGTAACTTGGATTAATTTTTATGAGTTCTTCTAGAGTGAAATTAAAAGGAAAAGATAGCTATGAGCCTGTATTTTTTTATTTTTGTCATTTTTCACGCTCAAGAATGAAAATTTTGGACAAAGAATGGAAATCTAAAGAACAGTATTTGAGTTTGTGTGGCTTTTTTGTCATGAAAGATGGTATAATATAGAAATATAGCTCCAGAGCTATCTGCTCTGGACTGTCCTAAAGCAATATAACACATGAAAACGACAGATTTTTAAGTATTTTAAAAATTTTCTATGCAGACACGCTCACTTTCATCTTTAAACATTTGCAATTTTTTTTTGTACTTCACCCAGGTTAACAAAATCTGGCAGAAATGTTCTCAACATCAACAGAAACAAGCCCTGTAAATGTCAACTAAATCAGACAAGTGATTCAAAAATTCACTTTTTTGGGTAGTGTCCCCCATCCTTTAAAGGGACATTGAACCGAAATTTGGAGCTCACAAAACGAGGCTGGAGCGACAGGCGGGATGCTGCAAAACCCAAAAACATCACTCATACAGCAATATCTCCAACGGTTGGCCGTATTTTTGGAAAAGAAGTGCGCGATTGAACACGGTCGGTGAGGCCGACGAGATATCTCACGTCACGATGCCCATTCCCTTTCCTCTTTGCTTTGTCCCCTCGAGCAGGTGAACCGAAGCGAGGCAACTTCCCCTCATCCTCAACTGTTCCACGAGGATCATGACATCATAGTCCTATATTGGACCCTTCTTTTCCAAAAATACAGCCTACAATTTTGGGTTATCGAAGTATAGTGCTGGTTTGGGGTTCATAGCCTCCCGTTCAACGCTTCTGAGTCATTATTTTGTGGAATTCACATTTCGGTTCAGCATCCCTTTAAGCTACATGTTGCTAAAAAAAAGTTCTATTACTCTCTGCCCTGGTGCTTAGATGTGACTTTGCAGAGTCCAAAATTTGTGTTTTGAGAAACTGTTGTTGCATCGACTTCAGCACAATTTCAGCCCAGATAGATATTATAAAGTGATATTATGGCTCAGCTATTAACCTTAAAGTTAAAGAAAACTTGACAGATCAGAAGACTAATAGAGTAAATTACAAAAATGCCATTTTCCAAAAAAAAAAAAAAAACTGCTTTTTAGGGATTTTTTTGGCACCAAAGACCCATGTCTCTCCTTCAGGTATCTTCCAAAGTCGCACACTCACTCCTGTGCCTTCGTTAGCATTGCAGATGTTTGCAAAACAGAGTGTGCATTCCAGTAACCGCTGCAAATCAAAAAGACAATTTAATGGCAAGAAACTCAGAGAAAGGTGGCCTCCAAGAACTCGCTTAGGTGAAGAAAGGTGGAACCCACAACCCAATGGCAAGGAACTCACGTGGAGGGTGGTCCCTTAGAGCCTACACAGGCAAAGGGTGACTCCAAACAACCTAACAACAAGAAAGCAATTGTGTTGTGCTTTAGACGGCAAGACATTAGTCAGCCCCAGTGTAGATGAGGAATTTTGCTAGCACAGCACAACCGCTAGCCTGGGGTCTTCAACATGCATCATGCAGAGTGACACATGCCAGCGTGCCGGTACAATGCTCATCCAGACTGAAAGGAGCAGGGGTGAGGATTGAGACCACAATCCCCAATTTCTGCAGTGCCAGCTTTCACTTCACATGCTCCGAGCTGCGACGTATTAACTCACACACTTGGCCGCTAATCCCCCTTCCCCCACAATGGCAAAGAACTTGTGTTTAAGAGCGGGAAATCAATGCTAAAGGAGCGTCCTCCCTCCCCGTCCCGTTTACCCACCCACCTGTGCGTGTGCAGCCTGCGTCTCATCCTGCACCTGACTGAGCAGCTCCGACAGGCGGGTGGCCTCCCTCTGGGCAAGGGCCAGTTGCTCCTGCAGTCCCTGCTCCCTCTGCCGCTCCTCCTCCTCCTCCTCCTCCGCCCTCTTCCTTTGCTGCTGCTCGTCCTCCGTGGAGCGGGAAGGTGGACGGGTGCCACCCCCACCCCCCAACAGAGGCGGGTGGGTGGCATCCAGGGCTGCCTGCAACAGGGACACCCTGTGTGCCAGGCTGCCCAGGTCCCGCTGGTGGTCCTGGGCCTCCCGGTTGGCACCCTCCAAGGCAGACTCTAGCTGCTCCACACGCCCACGCAGGCACTGCTGCTCCTCGTGGCTCTTCTGCAGGGTACACGGGGGGGGGGGGGGGGGGGGGGGGGGGGCAGACAAGAACAGGAAGACACAATTCACAACGTGATTGTCGGTGCTTTTGTGCTGCATTGCATTCGTTATTCTAGCTTGAAGAGCCTGGCGGTGTATGCCAGGCAGTGGCGTAGCCAGAAACTTTTTTCGAGGGGGGCTGAGGTGGCTGGGATGTCCATGACTTGGGGTGTGGAGGGGGGGAACGGGAAGGGGTCAAAATGCACGTGTATATCATAGGGTCGGCTGAATTTTAGGGGGGAGGGTGGGGGGTAAGGCTGAAGCCCATAACCCCCCCCCCCCCCCCCCCAGATTCGCCCCTGATGGTCCTCAAACGTTTTCCATCGCGAGGAACCCCTATCTGCCTCGGATGGCAGCCGACTAACCCCTCCCTGTCTTGGCATTGACGTATGAAGGCGGTACAAGACCCTTGTAAACAATAGTGCACACACGAGGGACTGTTTGGTACCGAGTCACGTAGTAGCGAATATCTCCGGTCTGGTAAAGTAGTGCTCAAACTGGAAAACCTGTTTACTTAGGGGCAGGAACGGTCGTAAAAAAAACTTGGGAGCTTGAGAACGCCTGGGAATATCTCAAAAGACCCCTGGGTTCCTAGGAGCCCAGGGATTCCCCAAGTACTCCCTGGAGTTCCCCGAGCCCTCTAATTTCCTCGACCGTACCTAGTCCTAAGGTTTTTTGTTTGTTTTTTTCAGTTTAAGCACTGTTTAAGCAGATCTGATATGTCCAATCGTGCATAACTATGTGCCTAACAATCCCTACTATCTGCACTATTGTTTACAAGTTCAGTAGGCTTCTGCACTGTTTCACTAGGCCAATGTCAAGACTGGGCCGGGTTCCTTGGCTACCAGTGAAGAGAGATGGGTGTTTCTCGAAATGGAGAAGTTTGATAACCCCTGATCTATGCAATCAACTGGAACGGTTTTACGCCAGATAAACCGTAAAAGTCGACAACAAACGAGGATTTGTTACAACTCCAAAACCCAACCAATGCCCTTAAAAGTCTCGGACTGGCACCTGCCATTCTTGCCGTTCTGAAGCCGAACAAGTCACAAGCTAAGCATCTTATTGAAACATTGGCTGCCCTTCCAAACTGACCAGTGAGCTCGTTTGCCCGTCACCATTATGAGCCAAAGCTGTATTTCTTTTTTTTTGACATTGTTTAAAATTTGTCATGGACTTTTAAAGCATGGATGATAACAGAAGTAGCCACCCACCCTCGCTCCCCGTGCTGGTTAGGAAAGTAGCCCGATTCTAAGCTTTTACTTCTCTTTCCTTCTACGAATGTGAGGATTGAACAACTGAACACAGAAACTGTGAAATCCCTAAGGAAATGGGCCCCGAAAACCACCGCTGTTGCGGTCCGACTTGGTCACCGCGAGGGCGAGGAATACTTTCCCTTTTAAAAAATTAGCAAAGAAATTGGTAGCAGAGGGTTTGCGTGCTAAATGTCTGTCTGCCATGAAGTGTCGTTCACAGACAAAATTAAAGAAAACAACTTATGTCACCTGCTAACAAAAAAAAAAGAGGGAAGTGAATTGTTCGCTACGAACCGAGTGCCGCGGCGAAGTGACAAGAGATGCAGGTTGGAACCGCGATCATTTGCTATTTCACGTGCAAAGCGATTGACAACCCACACTTGCTGAGCAAGCCTAGACTTTTTAGGCTGCTGTTCAGAAACCGACATCAAACGGTAAATAAAGGAGCGCCCGGGAAAGACATATCAGATGCTGCAAAACCTCTCTCACTATTTGCCCGCCAGTGAGAAGTTATCTTGAAACTACGTAACTAGACACGGACGGAGAGAGAGACTGGACGACCGTGCCTAGTTGCACCGATTCAAGATGAATATGTATATTTTTTGCATGCAGGCTGACTCCAAATATAGGCCTAAACACCCCCAAATTCTAAGCCCCCCCCCCCCCCCCCTTCCTCCAAAAAAATTATTTTTACATATATATATATATCTATGGGGTGTTTCACATTAAAAGTATTATTGGTTTAAAAATATTTTGTTGCATTTGAGGGAGAAAAAAACAAAAGGAATAACTTTGTTCATTGTTTGGAGCAAGTCAGGCTATTCTTCATACTTTGACCAATTGACTAATTAATTAGCATCAATTAATAAAATTTTAAAATATTCAATTTAGAGCAAAAGTTTCAATGACAAAGTTGCAGACTCAGAAACATCCAATTCAGTGGTTCTTATCAAGAAACCTCTAACATGGTTCGTTTTTCAGGGCATCGAACTAGCGAATTATTAAAAAAAATGTGCAAAAACGCGAATATTTAAACAACGCCCTGTCAACAGTCTTCTATTCAGCATGTGGCCCTAGTCTATTCAAGCCATGGCTGAGAGCGCTGCAAATACAAGGCTCTCAAGCGCAAAGTCACATGTCATTTTCGTAATTCGTGGGCTTTTTTTTTTTGAAGGCCAGAAAAACTAAGTGTTCGAGGTAATTGGATGTTTCTGAGGTCACTCAACAACTTTGTCATTAAAACTTTTGCTATAAATTTAATATTTCAAAAGTTCTATAATTAATCTTAAATAATTAGTTCATTGGGAATAATACGAAAAATAGGCTGACTTGCTCCAAACAATGAATAAACTTATTCCTTTGGTTTTGTGTTAATAAAATGCACCAAAATATTTTTAAAGCTTGGCTAAAGTTGCAACGAACACCCTGTAGATCTTTAGATATATATTTTTGAGATACCCTGATCTGAGATACCCAAGCCTTGAAAGCTTGACTTATATGTGGCAATATATGGCACAAACAAATTGCCCAATTATCCATTCTGAGAAGTTCTCGCCAAAATACTGCCCAATCGTGATCTCGCGAACGGGTAAACCGGTCAAAAATTTCTGGCTGGGCTTTCATAGACCAAGCAGAAAGCTGCGAAGCGAAGGTCCATTTGCAGCTAAGAAAGCCCTTGCTCTCGCCTGGGACCGCAATCGGACCCCAGCCAACGAAACGGGATGCCTAGACCAAGCTCACCAGCCAGCTTCATTACGCTACACTGCCAACATGCATCGTGGAAACCGCCAATACCCCACTGCTGGACCGCACGAGCAGAATCTTGTGTGCCGCCGCCCGTCTCCTGTGGACTACCGTCATGGTGGCGTCACGCACGCACCCAACACTTAGCGAAACCGGTCGACCAACTGACGCTCGACAAGAACGGCATGCGGGGCTGCTTGCCTTGAGCAGCTCGACGTAGTGGTGCTCCCTGGGCTGCTCCCGGGGGCAGGCCTGCTGGAAGAGCAGCACCCGCAGGTGCTCGTTCTGGGAGCGGCACTCCTCCAGTTTCTCCGTCTGAGAGCAGAGAGACTCCAGCAGCAGGGACTTCTCGTCCCCGCAACGCTCGTTCTCCAGCTGCAGGTCTGTCAGCTGGTCCTGCAAATCCGTCAGCTCCTGCAGCGTCGCCTGCAGCTCCTCGTTGGTGCTGCAACGGAAGACGGAAGGCTACATGCCTCGGGCTCCGGTAGAACCTGAATAAGCCACGCTTCAGAGCAACGGTTCTCGACTATTGATGTTTCCGGGACTTCTTCCGGATCGGCAGAACAGACAAAAGACCCCATCCATGGGGGGCAGGGGGTATTGGACGATTACAATTCCAATAGGGTAAGTGAAAAAAATTGAGCGCATAGAATCCATGTTTGACGTTCTGAAATGGAAAATAATCAACTCTACTCGCTTGGCACGCTTGGTTTGGTCTATTTAGCTTCGTGGGAAGCTGGCATCAATAAACAAATTTAGTTTTGTAGCTTGGCTCGATTGACGGCCAAGGGCTTTGGGGCCCCCAGGAAGCTCCCCAAAGCCCTCAAGCGTCTTTACGATACACCAGCCATCTTGCTACTTAAAATCGTTATTGCCAATCGTCTGTAGCTCTATCCGGAATCGCTTTTCCGTCCCCCAAAAGTGTTAGTAAAACGGACCGTGACAAAGCTAAACGGTATCGCCCGAGCTTTCCGACGCCGTACGTCGAGCTCGGGAAGCCGCATTTTTGAGTCGTAACGATCGCCAGCTGCAAAAGCTCTGCGCCAAGCACCAAAATGGCACCGTCCACGAGAAAATCAAGGAATCGAGTGCCACTGTTCTAGGCACAGCTCGTACGGCGGATCTAGTGAACCCCAGGGCAACCCCCGCACCTACTTCACTATCCGCGCGTTTCGGCACTCTCCCCCCCCCTCCCTGAGGGTTTGGTTGATGTGCTGCGCAACCCCCGACTCGTGATTCACACTGATCGAGCCTACCCTACGCTTTAGGACTGGCGCAGCTCGTGCCAGCATCCCCATTTAAAGTCAGAAAGGCTGGTGCATGTTGCAGAATGCCCCCTGAGAAAGGGAGACAGAGAAAAAAAGTGTGTGAGTGAATGATTGACCGAGCGAGTGTGCGGCTGAGTGAGCATGTGAATGGGTGTGAGAATGAGTGAGCGTGTAAATGAGTGTGAATGAGCGGTATGTAAATGAGTGTGTGAGCATGTAAATGAGTGTGTGAATGGGTGAGAGAGTGAGTGAACGTGAAAAGGAGTGTGTGAATGAGTGAATGTGTAAATGGGTGTGTGAATGAGTGAGCATGTAAATGAGTGCGTGAATGGGTATGAGAGTGTGGGAGCATGTGAGTGAGCATGTAAATAAGTGTGTGAAAAAGTGAGCGTGTATATGAGTGCGTGAATCAGTGTGAGAGTGAGCGAGTGTGCAAATCGGTGTTTGAATCAGTGAGCATGTAAATGAGTGTGTGAATGGATGTGAGAGTGAGTGAGTGTGTAAATGAATGAATGTGTAAATGAGTGTCTAAATGAGTGAATGTGTAAATGAGTGAGCATGTAAATGAGTGTTTGAATGTGTGTGAGAGTGCATGAGCATGTAAATGAGAGTGTGAATGAGTGAGTGTGCAAATGAGTGTGTGAATGGGTGAGAGAGAGAGAGTGAGTGAGCAAATAAGTGTGTGAATGAGTGAATGTGTAAATGAGTGTGTGAATGAGTGAGCATGTGAATGAGCGTTTGAATGGCTTTGAGTGTGAGAGCACATAAATGAGTGTGAATGAGCGAGCATGTAAATGAGTATGTGAATGGGTGTCAGAGTGAGTGAGCGTGTAAATGAATGAGTGTGTGAATGAGTGAATGTGTAAATGAGTGTGTGAAGGAGTGAGTGTGTAAATGAGTGTGTGAATGAGTGAGTGTGTAAATGAGTATGTGAATGGGTGTGAGAGTAAGTGAGCGTTAAGTCGACGTGTGAATGAGTGAGTATGTAAATGAGTGTGTGAAAGAGTGAGAGGGTGAGTGAGGCAGTAAGTGTGTGTGAGGGAAAGAAAGAGAGAGCAAGTGTGTGAGTGAGTACGAGAGAGTATGTGAAAGTAAGTGAGTATGAGTATGAGAGAATGAAAGAGAGAGGGTGCGAGTGAAGGAACGAGAATAGTGTGAGAGTGAGTGTAAGAGGAGGTGTGAGAGAAAGTGAGTGCGAGAGTGAGTGAGCGTGCATGTGTTAGTGGAAGAGTGAGTATAGGTGTGTGCCCGTGCAGGGGACCTAACCTGTAGTGCGTCTCCTCCATCTGCATGATGCGGTCCTGGAGGCAGGCCACCGACATCTCGCTCAGGCTGCTCGTGCTGGCCTTGTCCCACTCCAGCCGGGCGCCCCCGGGAGACGAATCCCCCACGTCTGCGTCCGACAAAGCCCCTTCCGTAGACTTGGCCTGCAGGTGCCACAGCGGGGACAGGAGAGTGCGGGTGCGTCTACGGGGCGTCTGAACCACGCTCGAACGAAAACCAACTGCCATACAAGATCTCTGGTGATACACATAAATATTCCATTTCTCGTATCTTTGCACAATGCATAGATTGATTACGGTGCCTGCAAGGCGTCTGCGACAGACGGATTTAGCGTCCCATCCTGCCCATGCTTCCATAGCAGTCCCAAAGTGGCAACAAATGACAATAAAAGTTGGAGTGCCATGTTGCCAGACGTCACAATCTCGGCGGTAGGCCATAGGAACGCCACCAAAAAAGCGGGCCGATGCCAGGGTCGCCGTCGTCGCGGCATCCCGTCTCGCGTCTGCCAAAGTTTCTGCGGGCCATCTAGCTACAAAGCAACCCGCGGCGGGTAGCCGCCAGAATCGCGGAAGGCCACAGCACGACATCGTCGGGTGGAAATCAAGAGAGACCACTCATAAGGCCGCGGTAAGCGCGCCAGTTGGGGACGCCCTCCAGGTATTGTAATCGCACCCACCTGCTCCCTGACTGCAACTCCGTCCAGGCTGGCCATGGAGCCCGAAGCGGAGCGCCCGAGGAGCAGCTGCTCCTTGTCCGAATCGGACAGGGGGCTCTGCTCAATGGGGGCCCCCATCTGGAGCAACTTGTCCCGCAGGCGCCGGTTCTCCTCCTGCAGGGCCTCCAGCTGCCACCTGTCTCCCGACGCACGGTCCTCCTGCATTGCACGGCCACAGCATTTCTTTCAAGGCACCCATTTAAACCGTCCTGGTTTCACATGTGTTAGAAATATCTTTGATCCAAAAGACATGACAGAGCGCAACGAAGTAATGTCTGAGCAAACCCGACCGTCGCCCCCTTCTCATACAAAAAGGCACTGCTCTCCCTCGTCTCCTCAGATGCTACAGTTACTGACAGAAAAAGAACAGCAAGGTGTGCTTTTCAAACGCCCGGCCTCCAAACTTGCTTTGGATCCGCGCGCGATTGGAGTGCACGAAACGCCGAAGCGTCGTCAAAAAGCTCGTGCCAGAGGCGGGACAACAGAAGCTCCTCCCTGCCATTCTCACCCCTTCGGCGACCGTACGAGAGTTCCCAGTCACAAGAGGCAGCTTGGCGAAACGGATTGCCCTCGTCCAGGAAGCCGAGGGTGCCGGGTGGGGCGGGGAAGACCCACCTTAAGGTGCTTGATCTCCATGCGCAAGGTGGCGATCTCAGCCTTCTTGCTCTCGGCGTTGCGCACCAGCTCGGAAACTTGCTGCTCCAGTAGGGCCTTTTCCCGCTCCTGCTGCAGGATCGTCGTGGGCGACGCCTTCTCCCCGCTGCCGCACTCCGGCGTCTGGGTGGCCACCGTCGGTGCCTGGCACAACCCTGGGAGGACGCAGCCCGGACAGGGGTCAAGCCTGGCGAGATGAGCGCCGACTCGAAAGACCCGGTACGGGGCTGCCCCCCCCCCCCCCCCCCCCCCCCCGCCCCCCCCCCCCTACTCTACACCGCACTCACGTAAAAGCCGGTTCCTGGGTACATGTGGACAGCACGCACCCAAGAAATCGTGACTACGGTAGGCCACAAAGCTAATGGCTGTTTTTTTTTTCTTCGTCCTTTGGTTCTTGAAACACGGCAGAAAGTTTTCCGGGCGGACTCTGGTTGCAGGTTGCCACCGGGGGAAATGGCAAGTACGCCCGACAGCACGTGACGAATGAATTGAAAACTAATGCAAAGCGGTAATGACACAAAGAGTGTGAACAGTGAAACTACCGACGAGATGAAAGAGAAAAGTTCCTCAGCAGATTGCTTGAAAGAGGTGTACTTCATGACAGCTCCAGTCCCCTCAGACCCTGGTTTGTACATTAGTGTGAGAGTGCAATTGACTGTATTGCAAGCACTTGTAGCCACCACAGCCCTCACATCACCTGGTCTGCAATTTTTTCGTCACACCATGATAAATATTTTTCTAAGGACAAACTAAAGCACCAGATGCGTGCTGGCGACATTAGGAGGCAGCCAATCAGGTTACTCAGAGAACCTAAAGGATGGACGCGAGTTCGGAGAAGCCACTGCGAAGAGTTGTTGTATGCTCCTTGTTGAATATTAGAAGAAGACGAGAGCCCATAAGAGCACGAGCTCGTGGGCCAGCGCACCCGAAGAATCTGTCGTTCTGGGATAAATGGATGCGAGCGGGCACAGAGCGGTTATAGTCCTTTCCTTACACTCCTATCGTAATATCACGAGGGAGGAAAGCCCTCCTGAAAGTGAAAGCAAATCGGGCGAAAATAAGGAGTGGGCTAACTTTCGGTGTGCTATAAAAAGGAAAGTTGAGAAGTGCTAGTTTTAGACTCTGCAACCTGCAAAACTTGTGAGTGTCATTCCCAGTCAGCAATGTTTGCTTATCTTTTTCCGCGGCTAAGCAACGCCATTTCTATCGAGGACACCATTGGCCAGGACCCTGCATTACTAGAAATAGGCTATCTTTCGGGTGTTTTTTGAAAAATAAAAAATAGCAAATGATGACAAAAATATGGGTGGGTTTATCTTTTGGGTGTGGGGCATCTCTCGGAATACTATGGTACTTCTTTTTAGAACCCAACGGACCCTTGAAAAGATGGATGATTGAAAATGATATCCATATGCAAGACCTAAGTCATTATTTCGGAACATTTTATATGCCACGTGAAGGGCGCTATGTCCACTTAAAAAAATTTATCAAATATGTTTTTTAGAGCGCAGCTCTTAGGCACCCATTTCTGGCTTGAGCGGCGTCGCCGTCGGAGTAACTGCGCGGTGCATTATGGGACATTTCCCATAATTCACCGCGTGGGGAGGGGCGGGAGGAGAGGAGGAGGAGGGGGACGGGGAGGGAGGAGGATGAGGGGAGGAGCTTCAAGGATCAGGGAATGAGGAGGAGGAAGAGGGAGGTGTAGCAGGGAGGATGAGGAGGGGAGGAGCTTGAAGGATGAGGGGACGAGGAAGAGGAAGAGGGAGGAGTAGCAGGGAGGATGAGGAGGGGAGAAGGGAGAAAAGGTATACCTTCCACTTGTTTTATTCTGCGGGGCGCAGAATGAAAGAGACATAGTCGCTGCGGACTAGCAGGACAAAAGGGTTTATCTTACACTAAGGTCAGCAACGCATGTACAAAAAGGACACCAACCAGTCCGCCATGCCAAGCCATACACAAGCCCGCGAGAGTCTCACCGTGCGTGAACAACCTCGACGTCTTTTTCTTACACGCGTGAACTCGGACATGCTATATCCAACATCCCCCTTTCTTAGAATAGAGGGAACATAGCTGGACTGTATACAGTTCTACAAGTCTTTCTTGAGTTCCGCGAGTTCACAGCTCTGGACACATGAATTGCTCCAAAGCTCTCTTCACGATGGCTGAAAACGTTTTGGAGGAATTATGCACCTCCCACTCCTAGTGTGCTCGTGTGTTGGGTCGTAACACGATGTAGGGACTTTAGTGCTTGTAGATGTGTCTCCACTGTCATCCATAGCAGGCGAAGACTGCTCCGGAAGCGGTACTAAGTGAGTGCGGTTACGGCGTACGGACTCTCTCTCAGTTTCTACCCAGTAGGATCTGGGCTCATCAGCTTGACCACTGACGACGCCTTGGCGCTGGAGGTCTACCAGTCAGACGTGTGTACCATCTTTTAGTGGGGACAGGTCCCAGACACCGTGACGCCGATCGAAGTCTTGCTTCTGTTTTCGACGAGTTTCTCTCTCGAATAGCCTCAGCTGTTTCTCGTCGGGAGTATGAGGACGAAGACTCTCGGAGGCCACTGGGACTCTCGAAGACTCTCGGAGGGGCTGTACCCGTCCTTGAGGGGGCTTGTCCTATATGCAAGCAGTGTCTCGTAGGGATCTTTTGATTTGTCTAAGGACCCTTTTATTATTTTTACCGCCGCTTCGGCGAGCCCGTCGCTCTGAGGGTAGTGCGGACTCGAGGTCACATGGCGGAAGTTATACTCTTGTGCAAACTTCGAAAATTCAGAATGGCATGTCTTAAAAAACTGTGGTCCGTTATCTGAAATAACCACTTCCAGAATGCCATGTCTGGCGAAAAGAGACTTGCAGTGGTTGGCTATCGCGGCTCCGGTAAGGCTGCTCAGGCGGACTAGCTCTGGGTAACGCGAGTAGTAGTCAACCACTATCAGCCACCACTGACCACTGAGGTAAAAGAAATCCATTCCCACCTGTTGCCATGGTCTTTCAGGGAACTCCATCGGCTTCAGTGGCATTTCTCTGTTTCGGCTGTGTTTTAGGCAGATGTGGCACTTTCTAACAAGATTTTCCACATCTGCGTCGATGTTGGGCCACCATACAGAACTTCTGGCTCTTGCTCGGCACTTTTCTATGCCGAAATGTCCTTCATGAAGTTGGACGAGGACTGACTTTCGGAATCTTTGAGGAATGAGGATCCTGGTTCCGCACATCAGGACGTCTCCGCCCATAGCAATGTCGGATCTGTGAATCTTGTAGTCTTTAAGGTCGGCTCCTATATCTCGGCGACTTGGCCATCCAATCGCACAAAATTCGCTGATACGTTGGCATTCCTTGTCCACTTTCTGCTCAGCAGAGATTTGCTTAAGGCTTGGCGGAGTCACCGGCAGAGATGACGTCACGTGGTCTACGAAGCCTCGGATCTCCTCGGCAAGCTCCGTCGTTCCAGGCCGTTGAACTGGAGACCTAGACAGGGCGTCGGCCGCGGTGAGATCCTTTCCTAGAACGTAGGAAATGGTATAGGTGTATCTCATGAGACGCATTCGCATCCTCTGGAGCCGTGGCGTTAAGTCGTCGAGTGTTTTGGATCCGAAAATTGAAACCAGGGGTTTGTGGTCAGTTTCGAGTTGGAAACCTCTCCCAATCAGGAAATCTCGGAACTTTTCACATGCCCAAACTAGGGCGAGGCCTTCCTTTCAATTTGCGCGTAGCGGCGCTCGGTGTCGGTAAGGACTCTGGATTAGGGGTGTGCGAATATTCGAAACTTCGAATACTTCGCGAATAATGCTTGCTATTCGATTCGATTCGCTTCGCCCTTTCGCTGTTCGAACTATTCGAGTTCTTCGAATACTTCGAAAACTACGAATAACGCGGAACTCATTGATTAGTGTCAACTTGCGGTCGAGTTCTCTGTTTTGTTTTTGGACTGCGCAGTATGGTTTCGAGCTTGGCAAACCTACACAACCAACCTAAGTATCTTTTTTTTTCTTTCTTTTTGTAGGAAGGATTGGAAAGTTATTTGCACGCGGTAGCGCGATTTGTCCTTTTCTTGCCGTGATGTCCGGATTGCAGAGTTGGCTAAGTGGTCGTGGTGCAAACGCTGCGATAGATAAGATGAAGGACTACGGTTAGCAACGGCACATGCATCGTCGCGACGTACCGCACGACATTTCGGGCGTCCGCCCGAGACGTCTTGTATACGTTCCTGTCCACATTCATTTTTAATGTAGCACAACCATATATTCGTGATTTCGTACCTACAGTGACTACAGTAGCCAAGGTGCTATGGATTCGGATATGGATATATGGCTCACCTCGGCTATCGGTGATATCTGGCTTGTGTTATTTTCCGCTTGATTTTCCGGTTTATCAGTTTGCCAGTATTCCTTTTGTTATTTATTTCTACCCGTTTTCAATGATAAAAGTGAGACTTCCTCCCCCCGCCAAAAAAGAAAACAAAAAAACATATTCTTAATTTATTGCATCTTTGTGGCGCCCTCTATGGACAGAACTATTGCACACGGAAAGAGATGGTGCATCATAGTCAGTGCAGTTGCGCTGGTTGCGCAGCGCGATCGCGCAATCTGAAACTCTGCTGTGGCCTGTCGACCTGCCTCCGCTTGTGTACTTCCGTTTACGTTCACGTGGTTGCGTTCACGAGCGTAAAAAGAGATCGCACAAAGTAGAGACGCGATCATCGACTTCGTATTGCGGCTTGCGGACCCGCCACCGCTTGTGTACTTGCGTTTACGCTCAAGTGCCTCCTTTCGTCCGCGATGATCTCCGACTGCGTTGTGGCTTGCCGACACGCCTTCACTTTTGCACTTTCATTTACGTTCTCTAACCTCGAACAAGGAATAGTATTTTACTGACTGATCTTTCTTCATCTGTTTTTTTTTTAACAGTCACATGTGGGACATTTTTCTTATTGCAATAAAAGTAACCTTTTCATAAACGTTTGTTGATAAAAAATTCCAGTTGTGTTTTTTTATTAAGCATTCTTGTTTAATTCACATCAAATAGAAAATATTTGTTTTCAAATATATCCTTATTTAAAACTACTATTCGTATTCGAAAATATTCAATTCGATTCGATTCGTAACCTTTATTATTCGATTCGATTCGCTTCGAAAGATTTTGATATTCGCACA